TAAACGTTCGGCTTTTGGTGTGTTTCATAAAAACAAACAAATAACAATCTATCAGGTTTCTATGAGTGAACAGTATAAAAGTTTCTTTAGGTTCGTTCATTAAGAATATATCAGAATAATAGATGTATGATTCTCTTAGATCAATCGCTTTCTATGAAAAATACTTTTCAATTTGCGAGATTTATCTGAACTGATCTGTAGTCAGTTTCTTTCAACGCTTTTCAACAGAATACTCTCCGAATTTTATCTGGTTCGTCTGTGTTCATTTAGAGTCGGTTTCTCAGATCACTGAATTTTAACAACACTCTTTACCTTACGAGGTTCACCTATATTGACCTATAACCAGTTTTTTCTCAAACCAGTCACTTTCTAAAAGACACTCTGTAATTTATAAGTTTCAACTGTGTTGGCCTGCAGTAAGTTTTTCTTTTCCAGTTCTCATTCTGTATACAGATTTATTTTCTGTTGAACTAAATGGCCTTATGTTTAGGGCATCGGACCCGAGGGATCGAATCCCATCACCGAAAACGCCTACCACTTTAGCCGTGGGGGACTTTATAACATGACACTTAATTCTACTATTCGTTGGTAAATAGTAACCTAACATTTGGCGGTTGGTGGTGTAACTCGCTACCTTACCCTAGTTTATCATTTCAAAATTAGAGACAGCTATTGCAGATATCCTCGATAAATTCGTTAGACTTACATATTTACTGCTAAGTTACACTCTAACATCAGAACGTAAATTTGTGTTATAGAACTGAGGAATTGACGAAAACAGACATTTGTACGTTTCGCAAATATTTCATTTACTACGACCATGGTTTCGCCAGCAAAATCATTATCATTATCATTAAATAGCTTATAAACGGATATATATATATATAGATGTTTAATCAGAGAAACGGAAACAACCTTGACATTTACTCTGAGGCATGTGGGGAAGAGCTTATATTGATTTGGTCACTTAAAACTTTGTCTGGAATCGTTTTCTTATTTCTATTTATTTCTGAACTCTCCAGGTAGATTAACATTAGTCCCTGAGACAAGTAGGTTTACCAAGGAACCTGGAAGTAACTCTAACATTAGTCCCTGAGCCAAGTAGGTTGAGAAGTGAAGAGGAGCTTAGGTCAATTTGGTTATTTAAAATTTTGTCTGGATTCGTTTTTATATTTCTATTTATTTCTAGAATTTTCAGGTTATTTAGCTTGTTTTTGTTTTTCTTACCTTTTTCACAGACATGTAAAATGTTGCATTTTTTTCGTATGAAATTGGTGTTTAACTGAAAAATACAGCCACAGTGGTGTTTACCAATTTGCCTGTCAAAATGCAATAGTGTGTATATACGTCAGACACGACGTTCCACAGAAATAAGAGTTAAAGAAAATTCAAGAAGTTTGTGTGTTTTTCTTACAGCAAAACCACATCGGGCTATCTGCTGTGTCCACCGAGGGGGAATCGAACCCATGATTTTAGCATTGTAAGTCCGAAAACTTACTGCTGTTCAACCGGTGGACTAAGTTTGAAATTGTGGAAAATGGATTCATTCCATCTTATGGAAACTAAACACCAACTTCGTGCGGAAAAAAAATTAAAAATTCTAAGTGTTTGTAAAAATGGTAAAAAAATTTGTTTGTTTTTAATTATGCACAAAGCTACACAATGGGCTATCTGTGCTCTGCCCACCACGGGTATCGAAACCCGGTTTCTAGCGATGTAAGTCCGCAGACATGCCGCTGCGCCACTGGGGGGCGGGACTAATGTCAGAGTAACTTCCAGATTCCTTGGTAGACCTACTTTGCTCAGGGACTAATGTCAGAGTTACTTCCAGGTTCCTTGGTTGACCTACTTGGCTCAGGGACTAATGTCAGAGTTACTTCCAGGTTCCTTGGTGGGACAACGGTAAGTTTACGGAATTAGAACGCTAAAATTCGGGGTTCGATTCCCCGCGGTAAACACAGCAGATAGTGGCTTTGCTATAAAACCAAACAAACAAGTTACTTCCAGTTCTTTGTTTAAACAACGATTTATTTATCAATTTACTATTATATTAGCATAATGTGCTTCCATACACGAGTATATTCCTACCTATTTACTCGTTGTTTCCATCTGCACTTGATAATGGCTTTACTGGCGAAACCATGTTTGTAACAATGAAATAGTTTTCAAGTGTACAATTTTCCTTTTTTTCTTATGGAGCTTCACTATGTACCAACGGTTTCAGAAGTTGCTTTTAGACTAGTAATTAAAGCTCCATCATTTTACTACTGTGGTAGTAAAAACTGATAGAATTAATGACTTTACTTGACTGTGTGAATGGTATCATTTTGTTTGAGTAAATATATATTTCATTACCAAATAACACAGGCCTGCGAATTTAAACTTGATAAGAGTTGCTTTGGT